GATAACACCGAAATGGATTATTGCTTAACAATTTTTTTGCAAAATAATTTGTTATTATTTTGCAGCTATTACAAATTTGGCAACAATGACACGAAAATGACGATAAGAACCGACTGATTAAATAATATAATTTGAATTTTAAGGTTAGATAGAAATTAAATAATTTGATATAACTTTTTGTAATCAAATTTTTGTTATAAAAAGAAAAATTAATCACTCCGCTCCTCAATGTTATGAATGAATAATTACCACATGTAATGTAACCAAGGTTATATCCAATTTCATCACCTCTCTCAATAAATTTATTATTTGGGGTCAAATGAAAGGACAAATATCCAAAGTGATTGCCTGCGTGATGATAAAAGAAAGGTAAATAGTATTTAGATGATCGGGAGAGAACAAGGGAGATGAAAAGGAAGAGAGAAAGTAAATGTGAAAGGTATCCCAACTGCTTTGCAAGAATTCTTTTTGAGGTTAAGTTTTGTAAAAGCGAATTTCCTTTTTCTTTTCTTTTTCCTCCATCTTTTCTGTTCTATTTCTTGCTATGATTAAAAATATGAAGAAGTGGAAGAAAAAAAAGTGATGACAGGAAGTGGCGGGACAATATCAAAGCAAGTTTAAAAGACTGATCTTTTTAAATGTCAAACCAAAAAAAAAACTTCAGGAATAGAGTGATTAAATTTATATTTTTATACATATTATTTTCATAATATAAAAAAAGGTAAAATTTTGATCAATTCATGAACAGACAGTAAGCATGCATCAATCAAATTTTCAAATTCAACTTTTATTTTTAGCTTACTTCCAAAATGCTCCCTATATGATCGAAGTTTAAAGAAAACTCTGAAAAATCAATTCCTTTTCCAAAAAATTTCCTATCTGAAATGATTGTTAATGCATTGAAGACTTTCAAAAAAACTCTTCCCGCTATTCCAAAAAATCAAAATTTCATTTAGATTTATCAAATAATTATTTTTACTTAAAAATTTAATTACGGAGAGATTATGATAGTTCTTAGTACGATAAAAATACTCATCTACTCTATTTTCATCTTTTTTCATATCCCTAATTTCTTCCTATTCTACTCTTATGTAGAAATATCATTCCTCATCCTTTTTCGTCTTTCATTTTCCCATGCGAACATTTCTCTTGTTCATGAATTTAAAGAAAAATTACAATTTTGGATGATGTATTCACATGACAAACAGCCAAAACCGGTTCCAAGATAAAATTTTTTTCAAAAGAAGGATATACCAGAATTATGGATAAGAAAATAATCCAGGTAAAAAACATTAAGGAAATGACAAAAACTTGCAACAAAAGATGATGGAAACGATATACAATTTACAGCGTTGACTGTATAGAAATAAAAGAAACATAAAAAGGGAAATTTTACATTGCAACGTTATAATTATTACTATTTCCTTCTTTCACATTTCACTTCCCACATCCTTGGAAAGGAAGGGAAAAAACAAAGTAATATCATTTAAAGAAGGAAAGATGGAGATAAAAAAAGTATAATCATAAGAATAGATATTTTCAACTATACCGCTGATGTTGGGAAAAGAATAATAATCTTCACTTCTCAAAAGCCATCATTTTTTTAAAAATTTTGTTTAATACTAAAATGTAAGAATGAACAATGTATAGAGCAAATTTCCGTAACACATGCTGAATTTTATATAGAATCAAACAACAACATAACATAAAAACAATCAATCCGCAGGTCTAACAAAGAATTCAAACCTGTCAATATTTCACTGAATGAGATCTTGACTATAGAAAATACTTTTCTCAAAAAATAAAACACCGATTAGGCGAACATGATTGATTCAATGATAAACATGTCCTTGCTGCAACAGCTCTCTTTGCAGTTGATTTTGTAAGTCGGCCAATTTCTTTTTCAAAACAGAAATGCCACTTAAAATGATGTTTTCAGCCTGAAACATCAATATTTGATTGAACTATTCGAATAAATTTGTATTATTCGAATATTCAATTCGAATAAAAATATTTAATTCGAAAAAAAAATTTTTCGAATAAAATTGTATATTTAATCGTACTATTCGAATAAAACGAATGTGGCAGGAGTTCAGATCTTATCTAAAATAAATCTAGAAAATCTTGGAACTAACAAAATTTAGTAAGAAGCTCAAAATCTCATTTGCTCCAGACTTTCTAGTGAATTCAGAAAAAGAAAAAAGAAAACCCGATAAAGAATTCTACCTTTAAAGCTCCAGTAGATTCAACTGTAAACCAAAATTTGTTTGGTTTAGCCATCGGATCGAAAGGTGCTTCATACTCATCATCTTCAAGTTGAGAGTATTCACTTTTAGGCCATTCTTCTGGTTTCGCTAACACGGTATGCCTCAGAGCATTATCTGGGTCGTACTCAAACGCCACGCAACAAGTTGGATTCCATTTGGCGTGTTCTTTGCCGAATCCCTTTAAGAATATAAGAATTGTAAGCTAAATTCTGGATAATATTCATTCCAAAATGGATAAATTAAATTTTATACAATAATTTTTCAACGAAGCCATATTTTTTAAAACTGACTTGAGTTTCTGTTTAATATAAATCTCGGAAGATTTCTCAAAATAAAGTGCCTAAAAGATTTCTGCAAGAATAAATATCCATCAATTAATAAAATCAGAAGCTTATAAATTTTATATGTAATGGAGTTAAAACTATCAGCGTTCAAATATTAAAATATGAAGCGATGTAGCGTGAAATATTTAGAGTTAAAAAACGTTAGACGAATTTTACAGTGAAGAAAACATTACTTACCTTTTTAGCAATGCACTTAATATCAATATCCTGGCCTTTCCTTAACTTAACGATGAGAATATCATCACTGACACTTTCTTCAGCATTACGATTACGTATGTGAACACCACACGCGGGAGCTACATCTGGATTACTGGTTTCAAGATCAGCTGTTGTCACTGCTCTTATTCCCTCGTCATCACAACGTACTCGAATCCGCATTTCCACTGCACAAAACTGACAAAATTCTGTGCATTGACAATCCTGAAAACGAAATAGATTAAACAATCGTAGGAATTATTCAAAAGTATGTAAACGATCTAAAACTCATTCATGATTATATCATTACTCGAACACGCCAAAAAATTTACAGAAGCTCTTATCGCTGCAATGCATGAATCCATGTTGTGAAATGAAGATAGCACAAACCCTTGAAAACTGCATCTGATCTACGACTGAATCTGATGTTAGCGGTATTAAACCAAGACGATGGGAAATGAATTCATCATGCAAGACACTCGTATTTGATTCAATTTGTACCCAGTCAATTGCTGCAAGTATACTTCAAGTAGAATTAATAAGCTTTAGAAGAAAATAAGACGTATTTTTCTTTTCTTCTTTTTTAAAGAAAAACATGAAAAGATGACAAAATATTAGATTTTTTTTATTTCAAAAATATTAAATTGATTTGTTGAAAAGTCAACTTCCTTGACCCATATATATTTTATTTTTCAGCATATTTTTGTAGCTTATTTTGTGCTCTATCCTATTGGACTCAGCCATCCAAAAATTATTGTTAAACATTTCAAAAATTAGACATTTTTGCCGGTAATGCTCATACCTAATTTACCGCAGTGAATATTAAATAAAAAAGTTTCCAAATATCTTCTCAAACATCAGACATATCAATGATATACAATTAGACCTTATGTATTATAAACCAATAGATTGATGTGTATAAAAAGAGATTTTTATTTTCCAAAACAACCTAAAATTATTGAAACTTACCCATAGTTGGTACTTCAGCCATAAAAATTCGTCGTAGCGAATTGGCAACACTTAAATCAGTGTCCTCCAAAACAAATCGTACGATTTCATCATTTAACGCAGTGATTGTGACATGAGGTTGATTAGCATAAGGCATCCTAAAAAATTAGAAAATTATAAAAAATGAGAAAAAAGAAAGAGACGTCTTTCTTTTTTTATCTGGATTTCTGGAAGTACAAACAATCTTAAAAGTTATCGTGAATACCCTTTAATATATCTCATTGATCTTTCCAGAAAAAGCTATTCACGAATTCAATAATAAACGACAATTAAATGACTGCAAAATTGAGTGTAGTTCAGTTGCAAACAGAAAATAAAACGCTGTTCTTAACTGCCAATAATGCAAAGAGAATCCTCTCCCTTGTCAATGATATACTTTCTATCACTGCAACAATTATCGACAATATCTAACACACTCTCTCAATCTATAGAAGTTATGGATGCTACTACTTTTTCCTTATGTTATTTTGGCAATCCTTTCATTTTCATTAATAGTTACAATGCACGGTATTTATATAAACCCCACAGTTCATGACAATAATAACCAATCTTTTACCGTCTACCTCATTCTTCCTCATCATACTCTCAATCTCTGTAATATATATTTTCGTAATTTATTATTCTCTGAATTACTGTGCAGCATATACTATTTCTGCTAACACTTGCTAAAAGTTTGCTGTCAGAACACTACTAGCTTACTACACCAAATACCATCAACAAAATTTCCAATGAAATCAAGTAGACAATTGTGGTCCGTTAAATTGGGCATATTGAACTGTCCCTGTTAGTGGCTAATTTCTTGAGTATATTATCCATAATGAAGAGGTAGGGGTTTGCTTTAGGCAAATTTCTGTGATAAGTTCAGTGTTCAGATATAAAACTTTCAGTTAAATAAGTAGAGCGGTCGCAGTGCTAACTTAACGAATTTGATCCTTCAGATGACATCATTACCATCGAATTCATCAGCGTCAAGCAACAATTCCTCCGGAAGGTAAATAGTTGTTTAATTTCTATTTCCTTCGATAATATAAAATTCTGTCCAATGTTTGGTTTCTTAGTGAAATTTGAAGCAGTATATGCAACAGAATGAATAATAAAAGAGAGGTAATTAGTGATGAGTGACAAATATGGAATTTCATCACATTTCTTTTTATTTTCACTTTATTCTGATTACTTTACTGAATTAATGGGACTACTTCGTATATGCAAAATCAACGAAAGAGGTTGGAGTTCTGTAGGAATTGCTGGTATACTTACAGATTATCTCAAGAGCGTTGATGACTGGTAATAAAACATTCCATCATCTTTGCTTCTTGCGTATCCCACCAAATAATTTTTGACAAGCATTAGTATTTTATTATATAACATTGATGATTTTGAAGACCAGTTTAGTGCCTATCACATCAACATAGCTAACATATTACTTAAGTGCATGTAATATCGGACTAAGTGGTGCAGGTTTGTAGAAGTGTCATAAACTAATTTGAGACTGTTGATCTCTTTCTTTCCCCATCGTTTGAATCACGTAAGAAAAGTTATATATGTAACAAGGAAACTTGTAAGTATAATATGGAATTTGATTGGGAATATTCGGACGATTTATTTCAGATATGGTTGGATACCTGAATCGGATAGCAGTTGTATTGCCGGAATACCAATGCCACCCCAAAATGTTAACGCTGAGGTGCCGATACCACGAAATGATCAAACAGCAGCTTGGGAAAAAGCACAAGAAGCCTTGAAAAAGGTTAACGTTTCAGCCACTTCCATCTCTTCGAACATTTCATCCATGACATCATATTATTCTCAACCTCATCCCGATATACGGTCTCAAACATTGCATTATTATCCATGGATGGAACAGCATGGTCTTGGAATGCTACCATTTCTACCTCGTTTACCACCACCGCCACCACCACCACCACCATCGTCATCATCATCATCGCCATCACTTTCTTCATCGTTACCACCACCACCACCTCCCCAAACCTATGGTATGGCGCAGGAAAATTCGGCTTATGTAGGAGTTCATTATGGTTTTACTCCATCAGGGATTCATCTACCATCATCAAATGGCAGTTATCATCCAGATTTCATGAACCCGTGGGCATCATCAAACGTTGCTCCTAGACGACAGTTTGGATTTAACGGGAGCGGATCGGGATCAGGAGGAGGAGAATATGGTCGAAATAACAGTGCAACACAACATCCTATACGTTTTTCAATTAATCGTCCTCGAGGACTTAATACTGCATCAGTTTTTCATCAAAATTCTCAATCACTTGGACTGGAATCACCAAGCATACCAGATCCCGTTAAGTAAGTTTTTTTTTGTGGTTTTGCTTATGCAAGTAACATGCGAAGTAGGACTCCTTTTTCCAATTAAAACTATTAATTGCGTAATCTAAAGAAGAGCAAAATTGGAGTAGGAATATGACATCCAATTTTTCTGTTGAAAAAAATCTTCCCGACCATTCATTTTTTCTTGAAAAACTCGAAGGAATTTCAGTATTGATTTGTGATGTAAAATATATGGAAAATGGGATATCTAACTGAGATATAATTGTTCATCCGAAGAAATGTCTTGTTATTTATTCAAATGCTTAGATGGATAATTTTTAGGAGGTATGTGGAACGTTCGTATATGGCAGTGGAAAAGAAGGAAGATCGTGATAAGTTGGAAGAATATTTCAAACAAAAATTAAATCCTTTGTTAATGTCCGGTGCTTATAAAGCAGTTGATTGGGATCGTGTGAGTTTAGAGCTTTTTTCTATTAATCGTTTTTTTCGAAGCTAACATTTGCTGCAAATACTTGAACAAATGCTAATTCTCAGAAAAGTGACTAACAAAAATTGCTAATATTACTCTTAGTATTAAAGATAACATTTAACAATATTGCTGAGAATCAAACAGTATTGCTTAGTTGTTAAGGTCAATGTACATCTCAAATCCAATCGAACATCTTTATTCGTTTGAATAATTTACTTAATAAATAGATTCTTGGGATATAAATTGCCTATTTTTTCCACTTTTTCGTCCGTAGCTGATCAACAATTACTGTTCACTGAAGTCATGTTTCGGTAATGACTTTCCAAGTTTTTTTTTAACCTCTTACAATTTGGTTAGTTTAGGAGCCATTGCCTTCTGAAGTAAATTTTGAGTTAAAAATGGGTTGGACACCAGCTAGTCAGTTGAAAAAGGGTTTAAACACAACCGTAGAAATGGAGAAGCGATCGCCGAAAAAGTCGAAACATGAGATGAGTCATCGAAGGGATTCACGATCTCCTCCCTTTCGTGAACAATCTAAAAGACGAATACCGTTTAGCCCTCGTGTTCGTCTTCCATCTGATGAAGATAATTCAGTTGATGAACAGGCAAAAGTACGTTTTATTTTTTATTCTAGGAATAAATGAATTCAACATATGTATATTTATTTATTTAT